GCCTCAGTTCTGAGTCCGTATCATAGACCATACCACCTAAGTTTTCATTTAAGTAACTCTAGAATGCCTTCTAACTCGGAAAAAGCAAGATAATAAGGGAACAGTTTTACAAAATTTGCCCATCCTGCCCACTTATTAGGAACCTTAAGCAAACCACGATAGCAACAGCAACGAGGACGTGTCAAAAAAAGAAATGATCTTTTGAGCAGAACGATAGCTTACCCCGTGCATTTTAAAACTTTGTAGATTTCATAGACGTCCTCTACAATACAGAAACGCTAAGTCATCAAAATTTGCGTGGATTAAGAACGCCGGAAACCCGACGGAAAATTATTTTTGAACACAACGCTGCTTACATTTATTAAGCTGAAGTTCAGGTATGGCAACGAAAAAGATGGTAAACACGTCCAGCCATTCGTAAAATTCTAACTGAAAATAAGAATTCATTTTTTGATCGACGTCTTCCCAGGTGTTGCTGTCGTGACTTCTGAATTCGGGTATACCGGTGATTGCACTAATCGAGAATTTTATGCTCGCACTCAACGTTTACAAATCTGTTCATGAAAAAGAATCTAAAATGTTTTCGAGAGGTAAGTAAATGGGGTCATTCTAAGACTTATCCAGATAGTTGGTGCAATTAATACGTTCAGTCACGGTTGTACAACTCGTGCAAATGAAGATGAACAAGATCACATGACGCTGTCAGTAGTTGATATTTTTATAAGATGGTTTATTTTCTGTTTAGTGCTAGTGATGGCTGACTCCTTCAGGTTAAGTTTCCTGATTATCATAGAGACTGCCGAATTTATTTCTTTAAAAATTCAAAACAGCAATTCTAAGAACAAAGTTTAGTTGTCTGGAATTAAATGTTGTAAAATCAAACAAGTTCCTTCGAAGTGATTAAATTCCGCGCGTAAGTTTGTTTTTTTTGTTTTCTTTTTTTCAGAAAAGCTTGCATCTCTGAAACTGGTAGTTCTATCGCCTTAACTCTTCGACGCATTTTCGGACAAAAGTGATCAGTTTTAACGAGGTAATCACGGATTTCAAGTTCAGGTCAAAGTCCTGATCTGTTTGTTTGCTTATTTAAGTGAGTTTAAATAGTACTGGCATTGCGCCAGTCTCAGCCGTCACCGAGTTGCGTTCTGAGATTTATTAGCAAAACTTTCTACAACAGTTCTTCCTGATCAAATCTGACATACTAAGCTCGGATCACGCAACCTGCACGAAGCTATCCTCCATTTTAATCGATTTTGTCTGGCGCTAATCGGATAACAGATGAGAAAGCAAATTAGTGTTCAGGATTGCAGAGATTTTTGCTTATGCAATACATGGGACAAAAAATACATTTGTAGCATTGTTTCTAGTCACAGCGCTCATAATGATATGCAAAGTTGAAAAACGCAACAACAATACAGTTTCATCAGCTAGGTGAACATTACATTTGTTCAATTCATTCTTATCTACTTTTTACAGCGCAGCGCGGAGGAGAGAATGACCCTGTCTCCACCCTCATCGTTTAGGCTGTACTGCTGTATCCCTCTCCCCTGAGTTCCTCAATCATTATTCCCATACCTTTGAATGAGTAGGAATGCGAGTGATTTGAAATAGAATACTTCTACTGATAATGGGCAAATACAAGGAAAATTTTTTTTTTGTATAGACTACATAAGTTTGTAGCTCTTCATCCATTTCCTTTACGGTAATGCGATGGTGTACAATGGCATTATGCGTAATGCAAAGACAAATGTAGTAAATGGGGGCACAAATACAAAAAGAGCAACAAAACAACAATCTAACAACTCAAAAACTAATACAAATTAGTATAAATGTCCTTTGTGCGCTGACAGTAGGTGCTATGTGCATGGTATACTAATGTAACACTATGATAACACTATTATAACACAGAATGTTAATTAATCGAGTCGTCTCAGTTCTCTTTAATCCTTACTCAAGTTTCACTTTGGAGTAAGAAGAGAAAAACACGAATTCCTCTCACTCTTTCAGATTTTTTTCGGCGTGTATCTACTCTGAGTGTTGCAACGAATGAACCCGAAACAAAATGATTCACTCCAAGCCAAATGTCCTGTCTTCATGGTTCGCCAACTATTTTGACCTGATCCATCTTTTCCCTTCGTAAGGTTACCCGCTGGTTCACTTTCCCACGGCCTTAGATTTTCCCTGTCGGAACCCAGCAGTTTCAGAGCTAATCATTCCTTTAAAATTGCCAGAACCTCATCAGCTGATCACTTCATCTGACAAATTTGATAAATTCCAAACGGCCGGTGTGATCCTTAATGGTATTTATATAACTTGGAGCTACTTTAGACTACTAACGTTAAAGGTCAAGGTTTTTTATGAAATTTCCAATACGCATTGGGATTTGCATCATGTTTATGACTTCGCATAGCTGGATACAACTATTACCAAATTCGAAGCAAAGCTTAAAAGACTAATTTCACTTTGCGGTTCTTTACGCTCAGTCTGGAAAACCGCGAACAACCTTTTCAAAAAATTATTTGGCAAAGAAAACTGAATAGCGACCCAGATTTTTAATATCAACTCACAAACATATCACACTTAAAACCAACCTCATATTTGACTGTAATCTTGAAAAGATATCAAAACTAATCCTTATACAGAGTACATTGAAAGTTGTAGATGAGAAAATGATTATCAGGACCAAAATAAAAGAACAGGTACCCTATTTTTCCTGTCACCACGGGATAAACTAAGCACTTAGCCTAAATAAGCTGATTGGAATCAAATATAACTGAGTTACATATGCAGTTAGATACTGACATAAGAATATGTTTAAGCTTGAAAATTCATTTACCCTCTTTAATGAGAAAATACTATTGGATGAGTAAACATTACATTACATTCTATACTAGCTTTTCAAAAAATGATTTTTTTACAGATGGCACTATTCCACTCCTTTTAGTTAACAATGATTCATACGTAGGCGTGCCTCATCAAAATATGAAGCACATGGGAAGGTTAGAGAGAAAGAGAAGTGCGAAAGAGTTTCCTGAGGCGTAACTAAGAGCAACTCTAGCTTTTTAAGGAATTTTTCTGAAACCAGGAACAGGAAAGAAAGATCAAGGGACGGGAAACGGGGAACGGTGCAATAGAAAGCGGGTCTTAAAAGGGTGACTGTCAGAAAAAAATCAAAAGCTGCACAACATTTGAACGGCAATTTGTGTCTCGTGAACATTATTGTGAACATGAATTTTACATACAACCATCACATACGTATTCTACACGCAAGAGGAAGATTTAAGATAGGCAACAGCCAATCAAGAAACCCACGATGTTATGGCAACGCGAAAGGCTTTGAGAATGAATCCTTTCCCGTTTGTTCCATGTATCTGCAGTTATTTCAATAACAAAGACGGCAAAATATCTTTTTCTTGGGTATATTGGAGATCAAATGTGGTTTCGGTGTGTTTCCCACAACTAAATTTTATAGCATGATTTTTTAATAATTGTCTCCATAATTTTGATTTTCTTTTTTAACGGAGACACGGGGGTAAGCGTGGCACCGATGGAGTTTTATTTTTCTCAAAATCATGCTAACAACAGAGACAATAGACCCAAAATTCCTGTTTTAAAGTTCTTTTAGATGAATTTGATTCTTTTTTTCTCTATTAGGGTAAAATAATGTGATATATCTGGTGGAGTGTACTTAAAGTACCTTTCTTCTTTGACCAATATGAAAACATCAGTTGCACAAAATGTTCCGCCCCCAAATAGATAACTCTTGCATGTGTAACATGTATATTTTTATCTTGAATCTTGATTTATGAGTAAAACAAGCTATTCTTTTATTTTTTTTTTTCGGTATTAAGTTATTTAACCAATTTTGTTTTACTAGAGCTTTCGTTTGAAAAAGACAATTTATAATAGATATACAGGAGACAGTGTTTCTCAAAAAGTTTGATTCATGATAAAAGAACATTCAAAAAGCTATAGTTGCTCGAGGTGTAGCCGAGAGCAACTTTTAAGCATCTTTCGTTGTCCTCAAACTTCCTTACGGATTAATATCTCGAGAAACACGCTGCAGCAAGAACCAATTGTTACCTAGAAGGAATGGAATATGGCGTGCCATCTACAGCCCATTTACATTAGCCGGCGAAAAGCTTGTATAGAATGTTATATATTGTCAACTCATGCCAATAGTTTTTTTTTATGATATAAACTGTATGGCCCCGTGAGCTCTTTTTTTTTTCTTCCTTTCTTTTAGTATTAAAAAAAATCCACGCGATGGCGTGAACAGGCCAGAAAAGGATATGCTGCCTCGTAACTTACGAGCTAAATTCAGTCATAAAATGTTTATTGAAAGCGCTAGCTCAGTTCGGACAGGAAAATATTTGACTCTCTGAAAGACGGAGTGCTCGGTCTGTACGTGATGGCCTCGAGCCAAATTTTTCCCGTCAGGCCCCCCTGCTCTGCTCAGTCTATAAGTAAATATGAATTCTCATAAAAGTACATTTGTCTAATTTTCTCTCGAAAGCGGACCAACAAAGAAGTGACCCCATCCAAACATGGCTGACATCAACGTTGCCGGTGTCGTGGCGATTGTTTTGTTTTATATGCTCATTCTCGCCATTGGTTTGTGGGCCGCTCGCCGGCGAAAGGACAACGAGGAAGAGACTATGTTAGCAGGACGAAGTATTGGGATGGTTGTGGGTACCTTCACTTTAACAGGTAATCAAAAGTCTTGATTTCTTCATCACAAATGTAACTGCTGCACTTATTTCATATGATTAGAAAGTAATTAATTACGGAAGGATCTATATTCTCCTCAATAAGTATATTTCAGTGTCCATTGTTATCTTGCATTGGCATATTGTACACGTTCCAGGGAGTTTCTCTAAAGAAACGTTGCTTCCAACTTCACATAGAGGGTTGAGAACAGAGAACCTTTCTACGTGTTTCGAGGTACTCAAGGGAATTCGGCTGTATAATTCAAAACTCTCATTTTCGGTACCATTTATAAACTCTATGAAATAATTTTATCTATTGAAAAGGGCTTTTATGATCATCAGCGAGTGATCCACGAGCCGGTATCATCCATAAACTTTATGAAATGAATTTTATATATTACGGCAGACTTCTTTTTCCAGAGCGGAAAGGGCTGTTATGTTCCTCTCTCAAATTAGTTGCCAATGGCTATCGTGAAGTTTTGTATTTTTTATACAGTTAAATACAAGAGGGATTTTCGGGAAAAAATTAATTTCACTGACATCTGATAATGCATGACAACAGAGGACAACACAGAGAATCGTTTCAGGGAACTAGATAACAAAGCTCCCATATCTTTTTTTATGACTCGGTTAACCTCCCTTCTAATTCAACTAAAGCAAGTTTCAAAGTTCTCTGCATGTCAATTTTGCAAGCCTGTTACGTTGTTTGTTTCCATAGCAACATGGGTCGGCGGAGGATACATCAATGGTACAGCGGAGGTACTCTATGATAAAGACCAAGGTCTCGTCTGGGCCCAGGCCCCTTGGGGCTATGCTCTTAGCCTGGGGTTAGGTGAGTAAGAAAGCAATTACGGAGATAAGGTACCAAAATACTGTCCTTGGAATTGCTAATGGTTTGGCAATTGACTGATTGGAATCAAACATGCGCTTCTTCGGGACGTTTAGGACGGCTATGGAAAAAAAAAGGAAAAAAAAAAGTTTTCCTTCTCTTCTATTTCGACGACTTTAAGTAGGGCGTGAGTGAGCTGGGCCCGACAGAATAAACTTGTTTCAACTGTTCTCACTCGCCTATGACACAATCACCGTTGAATGTAAGCTCGGGTGAAACTGAAAAAAAAAACAGTTCAAATTCAATTTTAATTCAGTTGATGACAATCCATTTTTTCGAATATGCCATAGCTCACTCCTAGCTATTCTCATATTAAGTTATTCGATTATTCAAGTCTAGATTAGCCATCTCAATACCTGACATTTATAAAAACTAGAATGTGATGTCGATCAATAAAATAAGAGAAACGCTATAAGAGTTATAGGCATGGTCCGTAGTAATGTTGAAGACCCCGCACAGAGGCAGACCAACTAACTAAATGTGCATAGTTTGAAATAACAATTTCATGTCTACAATATGATTAAAAACCACAGGGTTGTCTGGGATGAATGAAAGAATCTAAAGGCACCGAAATTGATTATGATTTTTTTACCGTCAGGTGGACTTCTTTTTGCCAAGATCATGCGCCAAAGAGAGTACGTTACCATGATTGACCCTTTCCAAGAAAGGTACGGTCCGCGTATGGGTGGATTGTTATACATCCCCGCACTTTTGGGCGAAGTATTTTGGTCTGGTGCCATCTTGTCAGCTCTTGGTGCCACTGTGAGTGTCGTTATCAACTTGGATCGCTTCACTTCTGTCGTTGTTTCCGCGTGTATTGCTATTTTCTACACGTTGATGGGTGGATTGTACTCTGTAGCTTACACTGATGTTATTCAGCTCATCTGCATCTTTGTTGGACTGGTGAGTGTGGTCAGCAGTCTACTTTATTGTGACATGAACGTCATTGCAACGAGAACTTTTTTGCCGAAGAATGACTCTAGACCCAGTCTTTTCTTAAAAACACACGAAAACACGTACTGAAGAAGATTTAGGATTTAGGATACTTCATGACTAGAAAATTAAATTGACTCTGATTTATTCAGAAATGTATTTTTGCATCATACTGTTTTTCTCTGTTCGTTCTGCAGACATTTTTCAATTCTTTAATTTTAATCTTTCCACCTCACTCACTAGTGGCTCAGTATTCCATTCGCCATGACTCATGAAGCAGTGAGCAGCATCACCGAAGATTCCGGCAAATGGGTTGGAGAGATACCTACTGCAAAGATTGGAGTGTGGCTGGACTATGCTATGCTGCTGGTAAGCTTCGTTTCTAATCTTTCACCATCGCCAAATGTTTGACCTAAGTCCGTGATGATGGCAGCGAAAAAAACGACGCCCGTTTTCTCACTCTTCCGGTTTGCACGCCCTCTGGCGTTTTGGTTGTTCATAGATCTCATTTTGATGCTTCGTTTTTCCTGTCCAGATTTGCGGTGGCCTTCCATGGCAAGTGTACTTTCAGCGTGTGTTGTCGTGCAAGACACCAGGAAAGGCTCGTATATTGTCTCTGAACGCTTCCTTTGGATGCATGTTCATGGCTATTCCTGCAATACTCATTGGAGCCATCGGTGCTTCAACAGGTAAGCAGATAACACACATGATAGTCTTTCTGGTGTGGGATCAGCCTTCAATTCAGTTACTCCTGCTGGCGAAGGATAAAAGTTCAATTCAATCTCTGATTCCCAACTCCTTAACAATATGCAGTGATCATCATGCAAGGAAAGATAGAAATTGTATTGGCAAAATAAGCGATTGGCCCACAGTGCCGGAACTGGTATCAGTAAAGCGGCAACAACCTTGTGTTGTCGGAGATTTTCACTTAGGTGACAAACGCTCCATTTGTTGGAAACAACTATGGAGGAGTGATATTGAAATATTTACACCACGTAGAAGTTCCTTTACACCATCGACAACAAGTCCTTTCTGAAGGACAAAAATCGCGATATCGAAGTGATATTGAAATGTTTGTATCACGTAGATATTCCTGGTAGTCTTGGCAGAACTATAGCGAAATATAATTCCCTTACCATGTGACCTTAGCAGACACGTGTTCGCATTGCTCAACTGTTTCTTAAAGATTTTCGCGGCACTTCTTTGACAGCACCATTTATAGTCCTGCAGTCAAGCAGTCCCTTAGACCACCTCACCATAGATTTTCAAAGAGACGAAATTAAATCAGATGGGTCCTTTCATTAGTAATTTTATCCATCATGATAACAAGATTACAAGTCTGATTTTTTTTCCCCTTAGATTGGACCCAAACTTCGTTCTACAAACCACCTGAGGGTAACATTACAAACCAAACAGCCTCGGTATATGTCGATAAAACTCTGATCCTTCCCATGGTGCTTCAGTACCTCACACCAACAGCTGTGTCATTCATTGGTCTGGGTGCTGTGTCTGCTGCCGTCATGTCGTCCACTGATTCCAGTATGCTCTCAGCCAGCTCTATGTTTGCCCATAACATTTACAAACTCATCTTTAGACAGAAGGTAAAGTATTGTGTATCTAGCATGGGTTCTCAAACAAGGTTTCCAGAAACTCGACGAGGTCCTCGCATTAGCGGTGAGATATATTGTACATATTGTCAGAGGCCCAGTAATGGGCTCCTGATATTGTGTATTGTATCATATAGCTAACTCGGTTCTAAATGTAACACAGAAAGATACTGTCCGTACTTTGCCTCTATGAGTGGACACCCATGGGGAAATATAAAAAGACGATGCCACAAGGAACCCTCTTTCAAAAAAATTGGAAATTTCAGCATCACTTACTTCCACTTATTTTTTAAAGGGCTTATTTCAAGTTGCTCTCTCCAAGAAAGTCCCCTGAATAATAACAATTAAAGAATGAGTAAACATGAAACATCTTTCATTCGATATTTCTATTTTTCAGGCCTCCGAGAAAGAAGTTGTGTGGGTGATGCGTTTTGCCATATTTGGAGTTGGCGCGGCCGCTACAGCCATGGCACTGTCTGTTGGTTCCATCTACGTGTTATTCCATCTGTGCAGTGATCTCGTGTTTGTGATACTGTTCCCGCAGTTGTGTTGTGTTATCTATTTCAAAGCCTCTAATACTTACGGCTCCATTGCAGGCTATATATTTGGGCTTTTTCTGCGCGTGGGGGGAGGGGAAGATAAAATTGGTTTTCACCCCTTCATTAAATACCCATTTTATGACGAGGTAAAGGGCCAGCTGTTTCCGTTCCGTACTCTGTCCATGATTGTTTCTTTTTCTACGATCGTGTCGGTGTCGTTCTTAGCAAAGTATTTGTTTGAACGGGAGATTGTACCGTTGAAGTATGATTTCCTGAACGCCTTCAGGAAAAACGAGGAGGAGAAAGAGCCAACGAAACCAGCAGAGGAAAAGTTTATAATGAAAGATTACTAAGACAACAAAATTTGAGAGAGATTTTACTGTGCAGTCGTGTTGATTCTTCCGTTCGCAGTCCTAGTTCTAGCAATGATGCATGTAGGATAACTAGACGTCAAGATAAAAGACATCGCGTGTGAAATGTCTACCAGTAGGAACAGGAGCAATTTCAGTGAGAGCTTACTTAAACAAGTTTACATATCGAAACATGTATCCACTTCACGTATAGATTGTCTGACCCTGCTAGAATATAATTATGTTTTTTTTCTGAGTTTAATAGAAAAGAATAAAATTGTTGTCTCAAGATCATTCCTACGTCTTGCCTTGAACGTTCTCACTGCGTATCTTCCAACCAGTGATAAGCACGTGAACAAACAAAGATAGCAGCTATTCCTTCTAATCAGAGCTATCTAAAGACTCATATTCTCAGCTAAAACAAGTTTACTGACTTGCCATTTGAATATTGCATTTTAAATTAAGTTATTCTTTTGTTCCCGCATTAGATAAGTATATACCGATTTCTAGTGTAGAAGGAACAGCTGTCCATAGGAAACTTAAACTTTGAAGCTTGTTCTTTTGTTTGTAATTGTGATCATTTTATTGCTCCTCAACTCTTTAACTCCCATTAGTGACCAGGAAAGAATTTCTCCTTACAATATCAATACAATATCAACCACACAAATGATGAGAATAAAGATAATATCAATCTGGGGACGATAAGGTGATCCAATACTAAACTCTCTGAACTAACATTATGAGAATTGTATGGCTGACGGTAAAGAGAATTCCAAATTTGATCCGGGAGTTATAGGATTGAATAACTCTGCGACCCCCCTCCCTGTGCCCCTATAAACAAAGATAATTATCAGGTGACGCTTGACCAAAAAAATTCAATGCAAGTTCTATTTCAAGGAGTGACCTTTTTCTTAAGACTTGAGATTAACGACAAATTAGAGAGATAAAGTGTAGCGTTAAAAGTTACATTTGTTACCAATAAGATCATCACTTAAATAACTGGACAACGATCAAAGCACAAGCCTTGTTGACTCACAGTGTTATACATCAGCCGAACCCCCAAAATTTGGATTTTTATTTTCACTTTGGAAAAACCACGGCAGACTTGCTAACAACGGTATATATACAACACGCAAATAACATGCTTCACCCCCATTAACGACAAATAGAATTAGAAATCTCGTGTTCATGATTTAATTGTTAAGTCGGATTGAACCTTTGGGACAGAACAGGTCACAGTATGTATAATGTATTTTGCAGGTTGTACGCCAGTTAGAAAAAAGAGAATTCGTGGTGAAAACTGACTGGTTTGAATGAGATAAAAATAAGTTATGTGTTTGCCGTGATCTGTTTCTACAACCTCATATCAACACCTGTGTGCATGGTATTAACTGCTATTTCTTTATCTAATGTAGCGCGAAAGCTTCGTGTACTTTATCCAGTTAAATGTATCCAGCGGCACTTATCATGCCATGTGAACATTGATCAGACTTCTAAAAGTAATCATACTGTAGCTTTCATTTAGATCAAAGTGCAAGAAATCGTGTAAAATTCCTGACTTCAGTTAAATTCGTTGTTTTTTGTGTTACAAATTTTACTTTGCCCTTAATTTTGGCTGTTTCTCACAACTGTTATCCATTAGTTTTTCATTTCAGTTTTAACTTGATTAATGCTACGAGTGGTTTTTGATGTTGAAAACCATTACTGGATAATATAAATTAATACCTTCATCAAATGATTATTCTCTTTTATAAGTAGAGTAACGCGAAAAATTGAATTTACAGCAAACTGAAAGCGATACTTAAGTTTAATTCGGCTTTGAAACAAGTTATTTGGATCTGCACGAACTTTTCCAGCCGATGTTTTTCATGCAATTTGTAGGGGATACCTGAAAATCCTTGGGCAACCAGTGCTAGTCCTATACGTGGTTGGAAAAATGATTATGGACAATCTATCTACTCCCGCGAAGATAAAACCTTTAGATATGGTTAAGTGGATTTAGTACTGTCTAGGTCGAATTTAAGTCAGTCGTCTTAACTCTTCCCTTCAGAGAAGGCTCCTCTAATCTCCAAAGTTAGTTTCGACGGTCAGAAAAAGAACTTACACTTAACAGTGGCCGTTTATCGTCAATGGATTTAAATCACACTCTAGCAAAAAAATCACTGTTGTTTCGCACGTCTAACAACAGACATGTTAGCACAAACTTTTTATTGAAATTTGTTAAGTTTTCTAACAAACAGACTTTCCCTAACCACAGTAAGTTCTGATATTATTTGTGGAAAGTGGCTGTTTCACTGAATTAGAGTCGTCGCCAGGTCGCGACATAAGCACTGTGATCATGGTGAGAGCGATTAATTGAATAAATCTCTCTTTAATTAACGGGAAGGGAGTATTTTCATGTATGATAACCATGTGACACTTAACTCTGAATAGAGCGCAGCCAAAGGGCAAACTCATAAAAACAAACCTGCGAAAAGATTCTCAGCAGAATTCGTCAGAAGAGTTATCGAATTTTAATTTCTAAGAAAGTATATTTCATTATTTTTTTCTTAAGAAGTATCACACTTTCCAGAAATGGCAGACATCAACGTTGTCGGTGTCGTGGCGATTGTTTTGTTTTATCTGCTCATTCTCGCCATTGGTTTGTGGGCCGCTCGCCGGCGAAAGGACAACGAGGAAGAGACTATGTTGGCAGGACGAAGTATTGGGATGGTTGTGGGTACCTTCACTTTAACAGGTAATCAGTAGGAATTCCTAATTTCCCACCACAAATGCAATTTTTTTTCACTCACAGTGGACGGGGATAACTCTCGCAATAGATTTGTGCATTTAGCCAAATTTGATCCACGAGCCGGTATCATTCATAAACTTTATAAAAATTAATTTCATGTATAGCGGAAAGGGCTATTATCAGTTCCTCTCTGAAATCAGTTGCCAAAGGTGATAATAAAGTTTTGTACTTTTTATACCGTTAAATTCAAGATAGATTTTCTGGAAAAAAAACTCATTTCATTGACATCTGATGATAAAACACAGTTGAGAACGAAACAAAGAATCATTTACGTGTATTAGGGAATTAAGGGGAATTTGGGGAAATAGATAACAAAGCTACTAATTCAACTAGATAAAGTCTCAAAGTCCTCTGCTGGATGTTACCAAAAGAGGGAATGAAGAACAGGGAATGGAGAGTGAGGTATAGGGAATAGGGAATAGGGAATAGGGAATAGGGAATAGGGAATAGGGAATAGGGAATAGGGAATAGGGAATAGAGAATAGGAAATAGAGACCCCATTTCCTATTCCACATTTCTCGTTTTCCACTTCCCATTCTCCATTTCCTATTCCCAATTTCCATTTCCCATCTCCATTTCCACTTTTAGTAACATCCGTCCTCTGCTTGTTAATTTTGCAAACCCGTTACTTTGTTTCTACAGCGACATGGGTTGGCGGAGGATACATCAATGGTACAGCGGAGGTACTCTTTGATAAAGACCAAGGTCTCGTCTGGGCCCAGGCTCCCTGGGGTTATGCACTTAGCCTGGGGTTGGGTGAGTGCGAAGACCAATACTTAAGGTTTTTCTTCTGAAAGTTAGAACGTTCTCCGAGTGTCCACAATACTGTTTGTGGCATTGCGAATGGTTTTCAAACTAATAACGAGAAAGCAACGTAAACAATGATAAGACTGAATGTAGCATACACCTTACCAAGGCTTTTCACCGTTGTGGCCTGAGTTAGAATTCAGAGCCTTGCGTCACTTGTGGTTTGAGTTTTCTGTTGGTGTTCGTCCTTATTCCAGAGGTATTTATCCAGGTTGGTCGGTTTTTCTCCCTCCGAGGATAAGCTATTAATGCGAATTTCGTACGGACACTTCGGATGAAGATCCATTTCGTGGATTTACCACTTCCCAATTCTGTTCGTGTGTGTAAAAGAAGTACTAATTCTTCAAGATCAAGGAGGTTATTGCACTATATTATTCCACTACTCTGTCATTCTATTAAATGAGGTCAAGAGAATGCGAAAAATATGCCACGGTATTACACTGTAGAACAGGGCAAAAAATACGGAGCAACAAATACGCTACAATAAACGATCCAAATTTTGAATTTTTGGGGTTTTTTTTCAGGCTTGACTTTTAAAGTAACGAACTTTAAAGCGCGATAGCTTTTTTGTTGGTCACAAAGAGAGCTTTAATGGTTTTGTCAGTGGCATAACTCCTCAAGCCTTAAAGGTTTTATTTTTCGCTTACTCCTTATGTGATCGATATGATGCTCAGATAAGGTCGTAAGATGTACTCCGCGAGCTAAAATAAAAAATACTTAAGGGTAATATAACAGTGGAATAATAAATCCCTAATTCGAGTGTTAAACATATAGTATTTCTGCAATTTCTGTCTCTTCCGAAAACACAGGTGATATAAACCCTAATTTTTATCAACCCACTCGCGATTACCTACACAAATTTGACCATATTTTTTACGGGCAGGTGGGCTTCTTTTTGCCAAGATCATGCGCCAAAGAGAATACATTACCATGATTGACCCTTTCCAAGAAAGGTACGGTCCGCGTATGGGTGGATTGCTATATATCCCCGCACTGTTGGGCGAGGTATTTTGGTCTGGTGCCATCTTGTCAGCTCTTGGTGCCACTGTCAGTGTCGTTATCGGCTTGGATCGCTTCACTTCTGTCGTTGTTTCTGCGTGTATTGCTATTTTCTACACGTTGATGGGTGGATTGTACTCTGTGGCTTACACTGACGTTATACAACTCATCTGCATCTTTGTTGGATTGGTGAGTGTGGTCAGCAGTCGACTGTTCTGTGACATGTGTACCACATCCCAACTGGGTGTTTTTATTATAATATGCCTTGTTCCAAGTATTTTCTTATGAACTGTCAATCAAAACCTGAGATTGTACCGAAGGATGTCTATGGTCTCAATTTTACTGTAACTGGCCTAAGCTTTAGGCTATTTGACTGATGGTGCGTTGTTAACAAATTAAACTGTGTAAAAACAAAAACATATTTTTGCATCAGAAGTTTGTCATTTATGTGTTGATACAGTGTTTGCTCTGGCCCCAGTCTCACTCCGTCCTCTTCACTCACTAGTGGCTTAGTGTTCCATTCGCCATGACTCATAAAGCAGTGAGCAGCATTGCAGAAGATTCCGGCAAATGGGTTGGTGAGATACCTACTGCAATGATTGGAGTGTGGCTGGACTATGCTATGTTGCTGGTAAGCTTCTCCTTTTCCTACCTTACACTGTAGCCACCGTAGCGAACTAACGTTAGGTATTTGTTT